AAAGGCAGGAAATGAGGCAATGAACGGAGAGGGGTGTCCCTCCCTATACAAAACTCAACCACCTTCCTCAACATTGAAATCCACTGGTTTTTGTGGTAGAGAAACAGATACTCAAGCGACAAGGCACAAAAGGAGGCACCAAAAAGGCCAAATAGGCCTAAGATGGTGAGTTTGGACTCAAACCACAAAACCTTAAAGAAAGTTCTTAAGCAAAATATAAGCTTTTTTTATGTTATGCACAAAGCCTAAATATCAGCAAGCAAGACGGTAAAAAACATGCAAGTTTTGGGAAACTAAAACAAGTGTTTACCCTTAGAGAACACCTCAAGAACAGATGATCCAGCACCTTCTACTGATCAAAATCAGTCCAAAAACTCAAGAATCAACCCTCAAAGCCTCTCAATATCGGCACAAGGTGTATGGTGTGTGTTTTAGTGCAAAGTAAGGTAAAAATGCACTTTTGGGCTAACAAACGACTAAGGAGGAAAGAGGAGGAGGAGATGTAGGAGAAGGGTATATATATAAGATGATAGATATAAAAGCTCTGGTTTTTTAAGGTTAAAACTCCCAACCTTAAACAATGGAGGAGGGCTCTAATAATAGCCTAAGCAAATGGTTCTGGCTTCTCTAAGAGCCAAGTGAAAGGGGCAAAGGGTGCAAGGAGTCTGAGCTTCTTGGAGAAGCTAAAACAGCTGGCCGCTTCTCCAAAGATTAGCCAAGTTTTTATCTCTAGAAGGATCAAAGGGGTTCAAAGGCTCATACCAGCAGAAACTGCACGGGGAGGAGTGATGGTGCATTCCAGCTGGCAGCTGGCATGCCCAATGCCCTAAGGGTCAAAGGAGTCAACACGCCAGCAAGATCATAGTCACCGGGCAAAGAAAATATGCCTACGGCAACAGATATTTGATGCCGATCGGCGAGTTCCTTATCTTAAGACTGCATTTTACTTTAAGAAACAAGGCGGTGGCACCCCCTGAACACCGGTGATGTTTGTGCGGATTGCTCACAAGGCAATTCTCTGCCCCTCAAGGAAGATGTATAGAGATATAAACATCTCTCTAAAGAGGAGAGAGAGAGAGAGATGTTTATACCAAACATTGTGTTTTGCCTTGGAGGGGCAGGGAATAGAATTGTGGGCATCCCACACATCACCGGAACTGTTTCAGGAGATAGAGATATAGATATAATAAAATGGGGTCGGCATAAATATACTCGCAATAGATTGTAGAGACGACAATATATAGAGGTAGATATATAGATAGAGCTGGTGTACTATAATGTTACCATAAGAAGGCAATGGTGCATGTATAATT